CAATTCCAGACCTACCTAGCCGATAACTAGGAGACATATATATATATATCAAGGAAAGGCGGGTACGAGCACCATATTCTCCTTTGACCTGGCTACTCGAGAATACCCCGAGAACCAGCTATCATGCACTCCAGGCCCGGTATACCGCTGGGCGCCTCGGATCCGGCCGCACAGGCGGTCTGAACTGAGTGTCAACACACTCGAGCCTGCGCCGTCACTTCACTTCGCTCCAGGATTCCACAGGAATTCCCGAGTTTGCTTTTATGTAGGAACAGAAGAGTTATTTAACAAAGCATTATGTATGACAATGTATGAACTGCATATCATCTTCAGCTTCGTGAAGAGACTCTTTTCCGCGACATGCGCCCTGCTTCAGCAGAGGTGCCTCGGCTCGCAGGTTTCTTTAATCAAGGCTTCGCTCAGGACACTGCATGCACAGATCGCCCATGTGGTGCCAGGCTGCACTAGCGGCTAAGTGCCAGTTACCTGGTCCAGAGCATCCACCAAGTTATCTGCTCCGGCCTCAGCCAGCTGGCACTTGAGCTCTGAGAGTGCTACTAGTATCAAGCGAGTTTATTGCGCCCCCTTGTGTACGGATAGGTTGTAAACAGCACAGCATGGACGCTCTAGTTAAGTCGCTACAAGAGGCAGGGCCTGTCTGAGTGACAAACGCCCAGGACACAAATTCCCGTCGTCACCAGCAGGTTCGCGGCAAGTACTGCCAATGTATACCTGGGACACACACACACAAATGGTTCAAGGCTCTGAGCGATGCTGCACTGAACCCAACCGCTGGTGTCGGTGACTGATCCACCTCCCATGAAACCCAAAAGCTGACACCAAGCGAAACTATGGCAACAACGACTACACGACTCCTAAATGGTCCTAAATCGATTGTGTCGCAGGAAGACAGTCACCACCACGATCATTGTCATCTACAACAACAACGACGATGATGCCAGCATCCTCAAAGCACCATCACCTGCCCTGTCATTGTTACTGTTGTGCTCCTGGACACCCTCCGGGCAGGCTTTCATGATACAAACGTGGCGCACAGGTGCCGGGACAAGGGCGGGGCCAAGTGCAATCTCTCGATCCTGCAAAGCCCTCGCGCCCAGAAAAAGCCGCACTCAAGCATCTTAGAACCCGGAGCCACTAAGCCACAAGGTCCCCAAAGACTACGGAACCAAAACCCATGATGCTACTCTTGTCCAACATGAAGACCCAACTGAACTTTGCAGCACCAGGCGCGGCAGCAGCGGCACGTCCTCTGGAGCATTGCATATCACGACCGAAACTCTGCGTGCCTTTGAAAAACTTATTGACAACAAGAACCGCCAAAATAACGGTCAATAAACCCCCATAAATGTAACACTAAGTCTGTCGTTTGTTTGGTGTGGGGGGTCACGGGCCGTGAATTTCACCAGTTCCTTGCTTGCTGCTCTTGTTTTCGGATAGGCCCTGCACCTAACGCAAAATCGCAAACCTGGCACCCTGCAAAGCTCAAGGGTCCTCTGCCGGCAGCAAGGCAAGGGCGTAGTTTTTCACCCCTGTGGAGATGGGTGCTAACCTTCCAGGGGCAAGAAGGTCTGACCGTCAGCTGCTACATCGACACCTCCCCGAAAGCTTCGAGCTCTTTGAGGTTTCCCCCAGCAGTCCGGCCTAGCCAGGAAAAGGGCCTCGACACGAGCAACAAGGAAGCCACGAATCCTACGTCGCAGACTGAGCGACTGGTGGCCGCAGCCAAGCACAACTTCCGTGGCAACCGCTCAGTGCAACACGGACTAAACTCAAGGCCAAGGCATTTCAGCCATTGTCAACCTACCAAAAATCCCACTGCAAGTCTAAATCACAAAGAGATCGTGAACACTAAGCTTCCCGCCTGGAGCGGGCGCTTCTGCACAGCGCCCATGCGCTTCTGCAGGATTTCTGGGAACTCTAGGCCCAAGGCCTGCGAAGCGATGCGATTCATGTATAGATTTTTATGGTTTATAGGGCTTATAGGGTTTATAGGGTTTATAGATTTTTAGGGTTTATAGGGCTTATAGGGTTTATAGCGTTTATAGGGCTTATAACTGGGATTTACGGGTCCGGGAGCCATCTTTCAGGGCTCATCACCACAAAAGGATGCTGGGATTCGGTTCGCGAGTTTCTCGCAGCACACGCGTCGCGCACAGTTTGCTTCGGTTCTTCAAGCTTCTATGAGAATCCACTCTGGCTTCATACAGGGGTCAGTACTACTCATCATCACTACAGCATTGCACGGGTTACCCTCCCAGCCCAGCGCCTTGGGTTTAGGGTTGCGGTCAATGTGCAAACCTGTCCCTGACTATCTACGGTACCAGCACAACGCAGCTCAAAATCTGTCACGTCCAAACATCGTCTGATCGTCTCCATGTTCTCCAGGCCTTTCCGAAAATGCGACCTGGGTTCAGACCAGACTTCCGACAACCGCATCTGTTGCTCTCCTCGAGCTTTGACACAGCATACTGGGGGGTGCTTCTAATTACTGGACATGCCAACAGGTTGCCCCACCCATACCCTGTGGCCGCCCGTGCTTCGTTTTATGTTGTTCTCCTTCGAAGACAGCGCAACTGCAGCCACGCCACCGATGAAAAGCGACAGCAATGCCTAGGCTCGGACAAACAACTCGGCCTGCGACACAAATCACCAGCAATGCATGGACAAAACCATGGAGAACGGGACGGTCGTCTCCGCTTCACCCAACCAAGGCATTGGAAACAGCGCTTGCCGGGAACGGTGTTCTTCCTACCACATGTCTTATGAAGTCTGATGCAGACCCAATTTTGCCAGCAAAGGAAAGTTTACAGAGAATACTGAACACCGCATCAAAATTGCATCAAGCCCTCACTCCGTCGTCCAAGGAGCACTCACCGTCTTTGCCAGAACGGACGCGGTGACTCCGAGGACTGCACCTCAGTAAAGGCGACCAATTCAAATTGACTGCGAAGCTGAGGGCAAAGGACAATCGCAATCAATGCTCGGCCCAGGCGCCATAGATGTTGCCAAGTGCCACATCCACTACCTCAAACTGGCTACGCATTCCGCTGCTACCAGCAGGGGGGGATGCCACACCATAAGAGCTGAATATGCTGAATCGCGAGGCTGCACCGCGTGGCTATCGCAGTCGGAAGGCTTCACTCAAGTTGTTTTCGCTCCAAACCACCAAGTTTGCGGAGTCTGCATCCCACATGCAGATGAAGCTGCCCACGTGAAGCCGTGGAACACTTGTTAGACGTCAACTTCAACATGATATTCACGGCGCGAACCTTGCTGATGTTGCGAAAGCTGCCTTCGTAGACACCGAAGTGCGATGTCTACGACAGGCGTGAAACGCAAGAAGAGGAGTGTCCAAAAGGGAGATCTTTGTATGCATTGTTGAAACGGCACATAGTGTCTATAGGCTTGATAAAACTACGAAGTGCCGTCGATGGCGACGATGGCTACGAAGCATGAACTGAATGGAGCACTGACCCAGTTGCGACGGTCACACGGAACAACCCGCCGACTCTGCAGAAAACACCTTTCGGGTGCGCCACTGTCAACCTTAGAAAAGTTCCCCAGGCGATGCAGTGAATGCATTCACCAACGGCCAATGGCCTAAATCAGAGCGCAAAAAAACTGCCAGAATCCGCCATGCAGAAGACCCAGCGCTGGCCCTGGCAGTCGGCGGCCTCCCAGTGTCAGCACTTCGCAGGCATTTTAGGGTTTAGGGTTTAGGGTTGAGGGTTTAGGGTTGAGGGTTTAGGGTTTAGGGATTATCGCACTTTGCACAGGTCGGGGCCTCGGAAAAACTAGCTCGCAGCTCTTTGCTCCTTCTGAGCCTCATCTCAGCCTACGCAAGTCCTGAAACACTCGGCATGCGAGTCACGAAGTCACGAAGGAATGAACGCAGCAGGAGCAGATGAGCCCAATTCTGTCACTTCTGCTACGAGTATAGGAGCCCTGTCGCATGACACGGGCTCTTCGAGATCTTAGGCTCAAAGACGACTCTACCCAGCTCCAACAAAGCTCGACTAGCACCTGCTACGACCACCACTTCCGGGTGCCGGGCAACACGGGAGTCCGAGCCCTACACAATAGATCCCAAAAAAAAGCCACAGTAACAGACGGAACCTCTCTTGAGAAATCCCTTCTCTGACTCCAGGCTCGGACATCTGCACAGTTTTTTGCATTTTGCATACTACTCACTAGGGCACTACTCGTGAAACCTGCCGAAGCGCGTCCGACCGTGTAAAACCCAGGCCCAAGCCAAAGGAAAGGCTTGGACCAAACCATGGCATCAAGATCCTCCATCGCTGGCCATTCTGCACATACCTTGCGCTTCAGGAGCATGGCATGGGATGAACTTTGACATTAGAACAGAATTGTGCGCAGAACCGTCGTGTAAACCATACATGTCGGACATCCCACCCTTACGAAACGCATCAAATCAGGGCAGTGTGCATATATTGCACAAAAGAAGTGTGTTTTGCCCTGCATTTTTCTGTGCAACCTTTAGGGGTTGTAGGGTTTAGGGGTTTAGGGTTCAGGGTTTAGGGGTTTAGAATTTAGGGGTTTGGGGTTTAGAATTTAGGGGTTTGGGGTTTAGGGTTTAGAATTTAGGGGTTTAGGGTTTAGGGGTTTTAGGCTCAGGGTTTTGGGGTCTAGGGTTTAGGGCTTAGGGGTTTAGGGCTTAGGATTCAAGGGTTTAGGCTTT